TCTCTCTCTCTCTCTCTCTCTCTCTATATATATATATATAGAGAGAGAGAGAGAGAGAGAGAGAGAGAGAGAGATTTTTGTTTTAAGCAAAAAAAAAAAAATACAACTTTCTCTCTCGCGCTTATATATATATATAGCGCGAGAGAGAAAGTTGCACTGTGTAGTGTCTTTGACAAATCGGTTTTGATTACTATAATCTGCAAATAAGTTATCAGTGAATTCCAAGTGTATTGGTAACTAGAACAGAAATGTGTGTTCCAAACTGTTCAACTAAAATAACCAATTTTTCACACTTCTTTAAGAGAAATTTTTAACTCCATTCAGCTGATACTGACAAATTCTCTTCAATCAGTAATATTTTTCTAAAAAAGGCTAAGCTCTTTAATGCAGGATCACCCAAAGTGTATCATGAAGCTTCCAAGATTTGTAAAGTTTTGTTCCGTTGAAAAATTTGCAAATCAGTTTTTCAGCTGAATATCCAAAAACATGATATTTAACACAGGTAAATGAAAATAAGAAATATTTTTAAGCTAATTGTAGCTTCCAGTTAAACAGAAGTGATTCACAGTTCCTCAAGAAACATTCAGATTTAGTATAGGATTGCTACAAAGTAAAATAAAAAGCACAATTTCAAGTTACGCAAATGGGCCATATTTTATTCTGAAATCTCTCATTCTGAATCCAAATTGAGAGAGATTATTTTTGCAAGCAAGATAAAATCTAAAAATATTTTCTAACGCTTAATATAAAAATAAAGCCAACCTCACTGACTTGCATCAATGTCAGGGATGCAATGCAAATTAATGAATTCTGCAAATTTGTGAATAAATACAATAAAGGAGAATACTTCATGGAATGTCCTTTGCTCACTACTTATGACAATTATCACTGCTTTTGATGTTTCAGAATGTCTTAGTGAATGATCTTTCTATTTAAACAAAAATTGAGGCCATACATCAGTTCACTAGCCGTGTTGCTAAATCTTTGAAAGGTAGGGAGTTTTTTGTTTGTGTGCAGATTATAAAGTGTATTGATGAACAAAGTTCTATTGTACATTTAGGTCCTTGATTTCTTATCCCATTGACTTTTATTATTATTACTATTACTCTTATTTCTTTTAAAAGACCACAGGCTTTCCTCTGTTAACTATGGAAGCTGAGAGAATCTGAACAGAATGGTAGATGGGGGTAGCTTGAAGCCATTTTACTGTTGGAGGGGATATCTTCCACCACCTTCCTTTATTCAGCCAGTTGTGCAATGATGTATGCGGTTTGCATTTAGAAAGCTGGAACCACAGTTCTCTTCCGAAGCTACGTCTTAAACCCACTGCTGAGCGGCGCAGAACTGTGATGCAAAATGCTGTCGCTTCTGCAGTCGCAACTGCATCCAGCAAATGGGCAGAATTCTTGAAACTGATGCTGAAATCTAGTCTATGGCTGTTGAGTTAGTGGGTTGACGTACTTTCCTAAAGAACCATTAGGAATGGGAGAGCTGTGGTTTGTAATTAAAATGCATTTGATTAATTGCTAACCTTCAAAATGTATATACCCTGCAACTGAAATTGGGTTCTGGACATTCAGTAAAATGTTAGCTCTTCAGAATAGGGTGTGAGGAAATGGTCAGAGAATTAGTACTGCTTAAATGGCTGGGTTTTACTGGACGATTACAGAAATCATCAAAACTAGAGGTTTTAACCACTAAAGGGTAAGAAAAATTTCTAGTATTGCGAATATAAATGTATACGCTTGCTACTTTCTACATTTCGCTCCAGCAAAAATGTATACAACACCCATTTATTTGGCAACTGTGTGTATAAATATAAATATGCCATAAAATATTGTTAATTGTTCAATTATGCAGGATCTAGTTTAGGGTTCCCATGGTCCTTGTATGCATAGCCCAAAGGTCCATAAAATACCTTAATAAAGTTCCGTCATAAAGCGAACTTCAATCATCATTCACCATTATAAAAAGTTGTGCAGAATGCTTTAAATGAAAGAATTGTTTTAAAACATACTCTTGATGTATCAGGAGGCAATGCCATAATCTGAGCCCTGTGAACCTCCTAATTTTCATTTCACTGCTGTGATTGTCATTATAATTTGGAGACTGAGTGGATGAGGGGTTTTTTTAAACAAAGGGCTTGGACAGCTACTTAGTTCAACTCTCATCATTTAAACGTTTCTATTTTAAAATTCATGTAAAGTTTTAAAAGTGAAATATTACCTTTCAGTAGCTTTTTCCTTTTGGCATATGTGTCATTTATTAAAAAAAAAAAAGACTGGTTTTAAAACAGTGACTCGTACTGACCAACGAGTCATTGGGGAGAACTTCTGCCGCAAACTAGCAACTGGGCTCTTACTGGAGTTTTCTGAAGAACTGGAAATAGCTTGTAAAAGCTGCTATACCCTTACATAAAATACATGGATATATATTTACAGTCGCCTTGCATAATTTTTAGGAAAATTTACCAGCCCAGCCAGAAAATGTATTCACCAGTTTATCCATGTTGATGAGGAATCACTGAAGATGTTTTTTAAACTTGGCATTCAGTAAAATTGCTTGCCCCAGGCTAGTGGGGCAAATCTAATTAGAAAGGCTGATAGTGAGCTATTTGTACTTCTCGGATTCTGTGGATTTTCTAAAATTCTAAATGTTAGAAAGCCATTGTCCTCCTTTTTAACTTGTTTTATTTACCCAGGAAAATGTAATCTGTCTAGTGAAAAGGAGTGAATTGTAATGCAGTGTACTAAATAAATGCCATTTAATCTGGGAAGTGCTCTTTCCCCCCTTTTTAAAGCACACTAAATGATTTTGAAAATCAGATGGGGCATGTCTGCATTGGGGACATTTTATTAAAAAAAATCCCACTGGTTTTCACTGAGATCCCTAGTGTAGAGAAGAAGGGTCCAGCCATGGGAACTTTGTCACCACTGATGGGAAGTTGCCATAAGGTACACAAAGGCTTAAGGTATCTCTCATGAGTAATTCTAAAGCACCCAGAACCATGTATTTAGGAGCAAGTAGGTCCCTATGGGAGAGAGGATACAGCTCCTGACTTATATTACTGTTGACTGGTATGGTCTGCAATGGTTAGATAGTGGATACAAAAAATGATCCTGATTCATTTTGAGTAGCCTCAAGTTACAATTTTAAAAACATTCTGGCATCTGCAGAATGAAATTTGGTAGCTACTTTGCTAAGCCTGCCCAGCTTAGTATTTCCAGCTCTTTATAGATGGGAGAAGGCCCTGAGTACATAAACTTATCAGTGATCCTTATTACAGTCATCGGAGAACAAGGTGTTTAGTAACATACTGTAATTTCTATGCAAGTCATCTGCCATAAAACATGGAGTGAATCAGAACAAGGTTCATAGTTCCTTCTTTGTTCCTTTGTTAATCACTGACTAGTGGGAGGTGCCTTTAGAATTTGCTAATGCATTCTTTTTGGATAAGGATGACGCACAGATTGTCCTAATAAGGACTTAGTTTGAGAAAGGAGCCGCCTTCTTTGAGAAGATAGGGGCAAGTCAGAGGGCGGGCAGTTTCTTTTTTAACTGAGGGATGACACAAGCACAAGTCATTTCCTTATTAATCGGTTCAAACCAGTTCTTACAGGAACTGCTGGTGATAAATGTGGGACTTCTGAGAAGTCATTCATTTTATTCTCAGCCGTGCATCAGTGCACAGCCTTAGCTGAACTTCTCCCTGGCTTTGAGGAAGTAGTGGAGCATTTAGCTCTCAGTGTTACCTCTGAGTTTATTATCAATCTGCTGTGAAATCCTTTTCTTTTTTTTACCCCTTTTTTTTTCTCTTTGAGAGTTTGGGGGACCCACTTGTCCCTCTTCTTCAGATGAACTGATAACACACACTGTATTGTTTGCGTCTCCCAATTATCCCATGCGGGGTGATGCCTTCTGATCTATGGCTCTAATCCGAACTTTGTTCCTTTTGAGCCAGAGTGGTAAGTTTAAAAAAATAAATAAATTGTTTTCTTGTTTTTTCTCTCCAAATTTTGTCTTGTTCTCTGGAATGAAATTTGCACCAGTGCTGTCCCAAGTATAGGTCCCTCTCTTCAGAAGCCGTTTCAAGAGTACTTGGAAGCTCAGCGAATTAAACTTCACCACAGATCTGACAATGGAGTGCCACAGGTAAGAATTCCACCCACTACCTCTTTTTCTTTCTTCTTCTTTGCTACCCCTTGACTCCTTACCCATTTTATCTGATTAAGTTTTGATTCTAGTTTTCAAAGACCTGCAAATCTCAAAGGAGATAAGGCTTTGAATCGATTTTAAAAACAAGTTGAGAAGTTCAGAGGAAAAACTGTATTTGTACTACATAGAACTGGGTTAGACATTCTATCCATTTGGGAGTAAGCTAGGCAGCTAAGCAAAGCTGGTGGTTTGTCCTGACTTTCTATTCATTTCTTTTGGTACAAGAGGCAAGCTATTAAAGACAGAAAAGTTCACTTTACATGTACAATTATGGGTAAAGAATTCCCCCCACCATCAAATATTACTAAAGCATCTAGGATTTGAATTTCCTTTTTTCTTGTTAGCTACTTAACCCTACTCTTCCCCCCCCCCCCCCAAATAACCAACCAACCAAAACACATCTCGATGGTCAAAGAGAAAATATTAGGAAAATACAATAAGTGAGGGCCTTTTCATGCAAAAATCTTTAAAGACATGTCCCACAGCTTTAGATATAAAAGGATTAATTAACACCTACATTTTAGACATGATATTTTTAGGGCAACTAAGATATTGATATACAGAAATTATTAACCTTACATTTTAAGTTCTAAATCCTTTGTTTCTATAAACATTTGCTTTCCTAGTTCTTAACAGAAAAAGAAGGGTAATTAAGGGAAGATCAGTTTGGAATAACTAGGCGGAAGCATGTTCTGCCCTTTGAAGTAATCTCTGTGCAGTGCATTGCTGCCCTCCTTTGACCAAAATAGAAAGTAGAAAAAAGCACCGGACTGGAGAACACTGCAGAAGCATGATTTTTTAGTCCATCGGATTAACTTCCAGCTACATAACTTGAAATAGCTTCCAATTAGTATCAAACATGCTGTAGGCAGTTCAGTAAAAACTGACTGTTAACCAGTGACCATATTGTACTTTCTGCAAATGACTAGGAATCACATCAGGCTTTGCTAATCCTGAACTTTATGAGACGCCAACAAAAAGAAACAAAATCATGGATAATAAATCACTTATCGACTCGCCCACCAGAAATGATCAGTTGCCCTACAGTGATGTGGCAGCACCTTTCATGCTGGCTTTAAAAGATCAAAGTTAGCTTTACAAAGAAGCCTGCAGGAATCCTGTTAGTTTGTGCTTGTTCCTGTTGTAGTTTGATAAATTATGCAGAATCCTGAGATGATTAGATTATTTCCCTTCAGCTAGGAGGAGGAGAAATCTTTTGTATTCTGCTAATCTGAATTTTTTCCCCTTGTTCTGTTGTTTTTTTGTTTTTGCAGGGGGAGAACTGGTTATCATGGATGTTTGAAAAACTTGTGATCGTCATGGTTTGCTATTTCATCTTGTCTATAATAAACTCCATGGCCCAAAGCTATGCCAAACGAGTGCAGCAGAAGATGTACTCTGAGGAAAAGACAAAATAAGCTGGGTAAAACCCATTGAAATGGGCTTTAGCAGACATGCAAGTGACAGGTCTTACCATATGTTAAAAATCGGCATTCTTCAAAACAGGGAAACACTTTTTAAAATCATCAATTTTCCAGCTGTAACAAGTTTTTAATTATTTTCTTTTGAAAGTAATTCACTCTTAGAGAATAACTTTCATTTACAAACGTATGTATGTTAAGGTAATGTATATACTCTCTTTAATTCAGTCTGAGTTGTACGTTCTGGGGTGGCACGTGTGATGCTAGACTAATGTTGAACATGAATGCTTTCCATTCAAGTTAATTCCAAAATTGATGATTTAATACTTAGCACAACTCCAGATTTCCTGATTAACTTGCAGCCTGGCCTAAAAGTAACGATTTTCTTTTGAAGGATGGCTGTCGTGCCTCATAATTTCAAGGTCATTGAAATGTATGTAAATGATAGTAGACTGGGTAACATTCTTGCATGTCCCTCATGGTAATACGAGTCCATCTGAGTTCTCAGAAATGCCGTCACATCGCACATGCTCTCAGTTGGAAAAGCCACCCTTGCCAACTTCATAATGGTGTAAGCAGAGATGGCTGATATCAAACTGGTGCAGTTCACTTTTTTATTCTGTATATTTAGAATGAAGTCAAGATAAAACTTTATAAAGTCATCTTTGATCATTCCAGAATTTCTTGTGTCAGTCTTTTTAAGCTGTTTCTTCCCTTCAACACCTTTGGTATACTCAGTTTTTCTTTAGTTTCTTTATTAAGCCTATGTCCAGTTTATTGCATGCTTACTAATCCTTCCTGTACAGTAAGCACAGAAACCTTTTGTTAATTTTTCTCGAACTTCTTGCTCAGCAGAAGGAAGTAGAAAGCATGTATTGAGCACCTTGCAGTATTATTTAAGTAGGCTAGTTGAATCACGTTACTAATTTTTTTATCATATCACTTAAGATGTTTGCTTAATGTCAGGAATACAGATTTATAGCACCATGAGTGCTGCAGGAAAAAAGTTGGGGAAGTGTAGAAATCAGAAATTAAGACAGGTTTGGTGTAAAACACAGGAATGGTAATTAATAACCGTAATAAATAACATTAAAGTATACTTTAAAAATATCCCAATATTTATTATTGTTAAAAATCAGTGTGTGTGAAATTAACTTGTATTGAAGGGGTAGACTTGTTCTTTTCTTAGTAAATAGGTGACTATTCCACTGCTACTGTGTATATACAACGCTTCTCTAATAGTCCCTGAACTAGTAGGAATGTAGTTTTGTTTTAGCCATAAGAAAATTAAAATAAGTTGACTTGTTTAATCAGACATTCTTAAATGGTGGTACATGGATTCTATTTAGGATAGAACTGGATCAATACCTATTAAATTAGATGCCTCTAATCATTAGAGTAGGGCAGCTCTCGAGCAAGGCGCAGTAAACGTGCATTTTGTTCTGCCTGAATGTTCACTTGTGTTGCCTACCGTCGTGACATCTCCATGGCTGTACCATCCTGTCGGATAGCTTATCAGACTGATGTTGACTGTTGGATCTCATGGCAACAACAGTCGGTAGGCTGTCTGACATTTTGGTATCTTTCATCTGACCGTTTGCTCATCCATCTCAAATTCTGTTTTTCATTGAACATCAACAGGCATATAAGTGTTTAAAGTTTAGAACGCAAATGATTTTAAATGTAAATGTGTCATAACTATTTTTCTTGAAATATAGCACTCTTCATAAGAAACACCTTAAATTACATTTCAAGGTGTGTGAGATTTGTAACGTTTTTGCTTTTGTGTGCATCATACATAACTTTAAACAAACTGTGACAGTGTTACTTGAATGCATGAAGAGAATTTTATATAGACTTCTCTAAACATTGCTTCCGATCTAAAAATCTCAGTGGGACATTTTCAAAGGCACAAAGGGCCCCACTCCTGTTTGTGCCTGGCGATTTAAAAAAGAACAAAATGTAGCAACAAATTCATATGACTAATTATACATGCATAAAATCATGACTATTCGATATTTCACAGCAATGGTTTAAATCAGCCAAAACTTAAATTATGCAATTTTTGGTTAGTTATGGGTTATATTCAACAGCTTTGAGGCATTTATTTTATTTTTCCCACAACATGTTTTGACTTAGGAAAACATTGTGGTTTGCCATTTGTACCACTTTATTTAGTAGCAGCTTTGTTTTGTTCAGATCTAACATCTGCCAAATATATGGGGCACTATTCTCTCTTACACCACTCTGGCAGTGGAAAGGGCCCTACGAGTAGATTTAATTTAGGCCTACTTTAAGGTCCCTTCATGGTACCAGAGTGAAATGAAAGGATCTTGTGTAACTAAGAATCTGGCCCTAGATCTTTGTCTCACAGCATGTCTTCAGATGATTTCTCAAACACACTTTTAGTTGCCTCTTTTATCCAAAGTCTTTACAGTGACTCTGCCTAGAGAATAATAACCAAACAAATTGCAAGCTTTCCCCCGTGTGTACATATAGATTACTCTGCAAGCCACATTTATATGTGCCCATTCTGATGAACTGTGCTGTAATTCTGAAAGCTTTCTAAAGTTCATCTTTTATCTGATATTTAGAGAATGGACTGAACACTAGACCTGCTTCTTTCTTATCAGACACTGGATGGTGATCCTTTAATACTTAATACAAGGTAAAAAATAAAGATTTTCAAATTGATGTCTTCATGTTTGCTCAAATAAAAATAAATATCTCTAAGTGGTATAGTGTTTCCTTTTGTTTCATTTCAGCTGAATAGAGCCCATGTTGTATATTTAGCCTTTTCATGTTATCCTGTAAGTATGTGCTGTCCCAACACAGACATTCAGTGATGAACATGATTCAAGAAGAGATTTCACAACTGCATGACAAATTCAAAGGAAATTCCATAGCCTTTAACGCTGTACATTTGGAGTTTGGTTTTCCAAAAAACCAAGATTCCTATTGTTTCTATGGTTTTCAAATGACATGGATGTTCAATATTAAAGGAGAAAATTTATCCATTTAGAACTTAGCTGAATTACATTTAATGACGAAATAGTGATAGGTAATTTCTTAGTTGTCAGACACGTATTTGCTTTGTTACAGTGCTAAAGGTGTACTATGTGCATATACTATTATCCTTCTTGCAGTGACGAGTAAAGTTTCCTTATTTTCTTTGCGCTCTCATGGTTTTTATGTGCCCTGATACTTATTTTTCATGCACATATTTTCCTTGTACCGTTGAGGAACACACAGCAATGAGCTATTAGCAGCCCTAGCAGTGGCAATTAATGTTTTGGTTTAACCGGGCTTTGAAAGGGAAAACTGCAAGATGAAACAGATTACCAATCACAAGTGTAAAACGTGGCTAAATCACTAATTTCATGTGTCCACTGTAAATATGAAATAATAAAGCAATTAGTCGACCTAATTATCAAGACAGGTAGATCAGAGCTGAAATCACAGCAAGGATTTCAACAGATCCTCCTCTTTGATCCTCCAGGCCCTGCCAAATGTCTAGTCTAGACTGGCCTAGAGGATCTCAAAGAAAACCATCTGTGATGGGAATTATAGGCAAGTTCTGTACTTCCCCCTCCACCCATGAAAATAGCTGTGGAAATTGCCTGTTCCCTGTCTCACTGACTAGCTCTGAACCACCTGTCTTGATATGTTGCACTGTTCCTTATTGGAATTATCATTAAAATGGCTGCCCTAGGGATTATGCAGCTGCTCAGTTCGTATTAATGGAGATGTTTAACCAACATCCGATGTTCCTGAATACTAGTCTATAGTATCCTTTCTTAATGTCCATATTGGACCTAATTTTTAAATTGGTCTCAGTCCCGCGTCAGTCTCTTTGCAAGTACAATTCATTGCAGGCACAAATAGCAGTTAGACATCTCCCTGATTAACAACAAGCACAATTGAAAGTATAAATACTTGTGCCCATCATTGACTGCAGGTGCAAAAATAAAGGACGGTGATTATGTCTATTCCTCAGAGGCAACCATAAAAATTGCAGTTTTCCTTGAAGCACATAGTTAAAAATACCTTTTAATAGCAGCAATATGCTAAAAGGGTGAAATTATTCATATGCATGAAAGTAACTACTCCCAGCTCCCACAGGGATGCAGTAATAAGTGTGTGAAAAGTGAGAGCGAACAATAACCAGTGTTATCTGCTAGGCTCTGATCCTCCTCACTGACGACAGACTAGCCTAGGTGGTAAGGGTTTTAATTGCTGGGACGTTGGGGGAGGGGGGTTCCTGATAGCTTCTTCAGTAAGTTTTGAATGGGATAAACACTTTCCCTGTCATAAGACGTGCTATGCTAGCACAGTCAGAACCATATAACAGGCAAAGTTTGCATATGCTCTTGCGGGCTCATTTTAAATGTGATTATGCAAAATGTATTTGAGACTGCTGCAGTGCGCTCCTCTAACGGAAGAGCTGGAGTGCACAGTATGCCAACAATGCATTCCTTCCTCTTTCACCCACTTCACTTTTTACTGTGCCACACGGTTGGTGAAAATGCCCATGAAAAAAAGCTTTATTAAAGGCAACCAAGCAACGCATTTTGCTAGACTTGTCTTGGGGGATGAAGGAAGAGGATGTAACGTAGGCTGGAGTTTTCAAAGGAGCCTATGGGTGTTAGCTGCCCAACTGCCATTGAATTTAGGTTCTTCTGAAAACCCCAGACCTAATATTTAGGATGCTGCCCAAACACAAAAACTGCTTAATCAAAACTACAGTCATAAAGTGGGTCTAGCTTTATCCTGGTGCTTGTATTGTATTTCAAGTAACAAAGCATGCAGTATGAAGTCAAGAGTCTGGAATAGTCTTATTGCTGCATACTCAGCAAAATGTTATTGCAGTCAAAATGTTGTGCATTTATCTGTGTTAATTCAGACTAAACAGGCTTTTTAGCTGTGAAGTCATTCAGCCCGCTCACTGCTTGTGCTGTGCAGCTGGTGAACTGTTGAAAAAAAAGAAAGGGCTCTGAAGTTTTAATGCTCTAAAATGAATCTAAACATGTAAATAGATTTTTTTAAAATGTAATTAATTGGTCTGAACCTTAGTTTAGTCTGTTTTAAGCTAACACTGGTCTTTACTATGCATGATTCTTATCATTCACTGAATGACTAAGAACTTTGAACACGTTAACATGAAAACCAAAGGGTAGCGTTCTCTAAACATCACTTACACAAGATATTAAATATAAACAACTTATTACAAATGAATCAGCATTTCAGGGGAGTGACACTTGGGTTTAATTGTTGTTCCTGTAACTTCCTGAAAAATATGAACTAGGTTGCCCAAGCAGTTCTTAACGAGCGTGTTACCTGCCATTTCCAACTGAAAGGAAAGAGGCAGGTCTTGTCATTTCAGTGTATTGTTCCCTGTTTTGATAAACTCCCCTACAGCCACACCATTCTCTTAATGGCCCCCAACCTGCCCTCAGTGTATGCAAGACATGTTAGTTCCGATCTTTGGGCCAGTGGTATTGAGGTGTTTCACCTAGACAGTCATACTAAAAATCCCCCCGTTAGTTAAACCGTTTGTCCCCTTCCCTTTGCCTTGACAGAGTGTGTTGCTTTCAGACACTGTTACTGCATGGAGCTTTATACCAGTCTGTAAACTGCTATATTTAGAGAGAAGACGTAGCCGTGGATCTAAACAAAG